ATCCAATCCATACCATTCCATCTCTCTAATATCCATTTTAATATTGTCCATCCACCTACATCTTGGTCTTCCCAGTGGTCTCTTTCCCTCTGGCTTTCCCAGCAGTATGCTATATGCATTCCTCTTCTCCCCCATTCATGCTACATGCCCCACCCACCTCATCCTCCTTAACATGATCATTCTAATTATACTTGGAGAAGAGTACAAGTTATGAAGCTCCAACCTCCTGTCACTTCATCCCTCTACAGTCCAAATATTCTCAACACCCTGTTCTCAAAAACACCCTCTCTCTGTGTTCCTCCCTTAATGTCAGAGACCAAATTTCACACCCATACAGAACCACAGGCAAAATTATAGTTTTCATAGTCTAATATTTACATTTTTAGACAGCTGACGAGAAGACAAAAGGTTTTGGACTGAATGGTAGCATGCATTATCCAGATTCAATCTCCTCTTAATTTCCTCCTGAATCAGGTTTTGATTTGTTATCATCGTTTACAAATATCTGAACTGTGCCACATGTTCAAAACATATGTTACCTATATTTATGTCATGCTTTTGCCCTGCATGTTGGTGACAAGGCAGCAACATATGCTTAGTTTTCTCTGTGTTTACTTCTAGACCAACCTCCTTACTTGTGTCATTTAAAGTTTGTGTCTTTTTGTTTATGGTATCTATGTTATCACCCAGTAGATTCACATCATCAGCATAGACCAGCAGCTGATGTGTCCTGTTTAATTTCAGTCCCACCTGGTTTTCATGGACCTTCCTAATGGCATAGTCTAAAGTGAAGTTGAAAAGCAGTGGTGATTAAGCATCCCCTTGTTTTAGACCATTCTGGATAGGAAAATTATCAGACAAACATATATGGACTTCACTGTATGTTTCGTTTAAACACATTGTAATTAGCCTGACTAGATTCATGGGTACCCCAAACTCTATCTGAATATTGTACAATACTTCCCTCCTAACTGAATCATAGGCTTTGTTGAAGTATGTCACTAGCTGATGTACTGTCTCATTGTACTCCCATTTTTTCTTCAGTATCTGACAAATGCAAAAATGTGATTTGTAGTTGAGCTGTTACATCAAAACTCACACTGATGATTCCCAATAATTTCATATGTGTATGGACTTAACCTTGAGAGAAAAATATTGGATAAAATTTTGTATGAAGTTGATAGCAGTGATATCCCCTGATAATTACTATAGTCAGTTTTATAACCTTTCTTGTGAACTGGTACAATAATAGACTCCTTCCTCTGATCAGACAATTTTTACTTATGCCAAATAGAAGTAATTAGCTTAAGGAACTTAGAATGTAATATTTCGCCTTCCTGCTTGAAAAAATTCTGCTGGGATTTGATCACTACCTGGCAAATTATACCTTATCAATTTTGCAATAGCACTTTCAAACTCAAAAGGGCTAGGATCAGGTATTAATGGCTTAGCTGTATGCATTTCTATCTGCCTATCCTCACTGACTCTCAGTAAAGTAAGTAAAAGTAAAGGTTTCCCTGTAACAGGCTGTGGAAGCCCAGTGGGTTGTGAGATGTTGAGGTTTCCACATTTTCTAGACAGTCAGCTCATAGATGGCGGCAAGGTTGTCAGCCCTACTTGCTGGCCACCCTTTACCCCCAAGAATATTCGAAGAATATTCCTTGTACTCATTTCTGTTAGAGGCTGAGTCGACCCCAGGGCCATAGTGTAGATGGAAGGATTAGGTAAATTGAAAAAATCCAAAGACCTCATCGGGACTTGAACCTCCCACCTTCCAGCTGGTAGCATAGTGGGAAGGTCACGGGTTCAAGTCCCCTATGTAAATTCAATAATTTTATTTTTCGCATTGGGGGGTGTGGAGTCCAGTTGGGTCCACTTGGCACGGGGGCCACTGATGTACATTCAATAACTGAGAGAAGTAGTTCTTTCACCTGTTCAAAATGTTGTGGGAATCTGCAAGCAGATCACCATTCTCATCCTTCACTAAGTTACTGCTAGGCTGGTAACCCCTCCTAAAGTCATTTATTCCTCTCTACAGGTCTCTAATATTCTTGTTCTTACTGTTCATTGCAAGCTCATCAATTTTGTCTTTCAGATATTCCCTCTTTTTATACCTGGAATGCGTGCTAGTTTCACGTCTTGTATTGTTCAGATTATCCCTATTTATTTCGCTTGGATCCTGTAACCATTGCAATTTGGCCTGCTTTCTTTGATCTAATAATTTTGAGCATCCTTCATCGAACCATGACTTATGCTTGTTCGGTTCATAATAACATAGACTCTCTTTGGTAGAAGTTTTGATAGTTTCTCTAATAGTTTCCCAAGCTTTTTTTTTATTGCTAGAGGGGTGGGATTAAGTCCCTTCTACTGCGGCCACTACTGGCCTATTGTACCAGCCCCAGATGATAGGTGAGGCTTATTGCGGAGCAGTTGGTGGAATGAAAATTGGCAGGGGAAACCAAAGTACTTGGAGAAAACCAGCCCCAGCGCCACTTTGTCCACCACAAATCCCACTTGACCAGACCCAGGATAAAACCGGGCCACGGTGGTGGGAAGCCAGCGACTAACCACTTGAGCTATGCACGGCCCTTCCCAAGCTTTATTAACATCCACCTCGGTTTCCAAGTTTTCCAAAGCTGCAAACCTATTTGAGATTTCAACACAATACTGCTCTTTGCCCTCTACCTCTATTTTCTTGAGATTGAACCTCTCCATATGAATTCTGTGTGTTGTTTGTTTGCTCACTACCAGTCTTTCCCTAACCTTTGCCACCACTAGGTAGTGGTCACTGTCACAGTCTGGTGCCCTGAATGATCAGACATCAAGTATAGTTGAATGCCATCTCCTGTCTCTCAAAATATAATTGATTTGATTGTTTATCTTCCCATCAGGAGATGTCCAAGTAAATTAATGGATGTTACGATGTAGGAACATTGTACTTTTGAGAGTAAGATTCTTCACTGTGGCAAAGTTTACTACTGTAACTCCATGATGTGTATGTATTGACCGTCTTCTAGTGCACAAAATCTCACTTGTCACTTCACTACATGTTTTGGCATCACTGTGCCATCCTCAGGTGTCTTATTTACGTTAAACTATTGCACTGCTCGCCATCATGTGTCATTTATAAAATGATTTAAAATGTGTATATGGACGTGAATCAGTGCAGCAGGATGCTAAAATACAACATTATTAATAGTAGTCATACTAAAAGCATATATCAATACATGAATTGTAAACGTAAACTATTACATTGCAATGCCAACATAAATTTTAATAAGATGAATATACATTTTAAATCATTTTATAAATGACACATGATGGCGAGCAGTGCAATAGTTTAACGTAAATAAGACACCTGAGGATGGCACAGTGATGCCGAAACATGTAGTGAAGTGACAAGTGAGACTGTGTGCACTAGAAGACGGTCAATACATACACATCATGGACGTGAATCAGTGCAACAGGACACTAAAATACAACATTACTGTAACTCCTTTTTTTTTTCATTGGTGCTACAGCCCTCATTTGGGTCTAGGCCTACCTCCATGAAACTCTCCGCTTCACTTCTGTTTACTAGATCTTAGACATATGGTAGGACGCCTTGGGCGGGTCATCAGCTCATCCAAAGGCCTCTACCTGTACACAAACACAGAAAAACGCACACAAACATCCATGCCCTGAGTGGGATTCGAACCCACAATCCAGGCTTCCAAGCGAGCGAAGACAGTGCATGCCTTAGACCACTCGGCTACTGTGACCAGCCTAACTCCATTATCATTACTAATTCCATGCAAACTGTCATTCCCAATTGTTGGTTAGAAAATGTCTTCCCTCTCTACTTTGGCATTAAAATATCCTAACAGAATTTTCATATGGTACTTTGGGAATTTATCAAATACATGTTCTACCAAAGATATAAAGTATGTAAAAAGATATACTTATCATAATTAACATATCCATCAGAGCTGTATAAAATTGGAGCATTCAGATTGTCAATTGCAGAGTACAGATGTGGAAACTCTGTATACTCCAGTGTGTGTTGTACCTGTCTGCTGCTTTGCCAGATACGTGTATATGCGGTAGATTTAATGTGTATTCTTTTCCTGTGAACTTCACAAATTTCTTATATTGATATATTTATTTACCACTTCAGGTTGTACTAGAAACAACTATAACACTATCACTGTTTCCACACTTTGCAGTTTACTGTTACACACACACTATTGTTCTCAGTCTATTACAGTCTCCACTATCCATCTCCTGGCATAGCGCCATCTTCTCAGCCTTCCTTGCAGAGCTCATCTCTTGACTAACTTTTCACTGGGAACCCTCGGAACTCGATTGCCAATTCTCAAGTCAAAGTCAAAGTCGCATTACAATCTATGATCAGTCCATAGGTCTTGGTGTCAAGCCCCATGTGAGGCTCATGACCAGAAATTTATTAGTGTTTGACAGTTATGGTCTTGTTTCTGTGGGGCGCCCTCTCTGACGAGAGGACAGGTCTGTCTTTTGCTTATGTTGCTGGCCCTTGCCAATGCAGTCTTTCTTGGGTCTGAGTCCCTTGAGACTCACTGCCTTATTTTACTGTCTCAGATTTGAGACTTCTCTTTTCGTTGCCTCCTACAACTTGCAGGGTCACGCTGTAGGTATTTGACCCTGCCTCCACACGGGGGTTCATTCAGCCAGCCTGGGGTTATCGCTATATAGCATTGGGTCCTACCACTGCCAATTCTCAACTGAACTCTTCTTTATAACCACCTTGCATGGACCGAATAGAAAATATCATTACCAACAATTCCTCTGTTGCCACGGAAAATTGGTTATCTAGCCGTTGCTTATAAATGGTCATCTTGTCTGGCATTCAGGCATCATGTCACAGTATTATGTTTTGTATATTATTTGCAAGTCTTATTTCTTGGAAAACTCAGAACATTTTCAGATTTCACCAATAAGTCTGTTTTCAGTAATGTGGTTTATTCTCCTTAATTTAAACAAAGATATGGCAATAACTGATGAACTTCGTCATTTGGAATTTTACCTGTTTGATGAATTCCAAAAGGGACGCAAAGTGGCAGATTTGTATGAGCTTGTGCAGTATGCTGGAAATATTGTACCTAGATTGTAAGTATATTTTCAGAGATCTGTGCATGCATGTGGGTGCACACATGCGCACGTATGTGTGTGTGTGTGTGTGCGCGCGCCCTAATTTTTATTTGAAACTACATTTCAGGGACTGGACTCTTTTGGTCCTAATCAATAGAACTAGTCCCTATCAATGGACACCAGAAGTAAGTAACAGGACATGATGTATAAACAAAGCAAGACAAACCACCCTTGGGGCTTACAATAAAGAGGCACATTTAACGGCATATATGTGACATAACACCTAAGCGGCCTCTGTAGTCTAGGGGTAATGTTCCCACCTCATGACTCAAGGTACGTGGGTTCAAACCCGGCGGAGGTCGTGGAATTTTTAAGGGCAGAAAAATTCAGGGAACAAGTCCTCCGGGAGGGACTTTAAGCCATGGGTCCCGTGTCGTAGATTTACGGCACGTAAAAGATCCTCATGCCTCTAGGAGACCTCTGAGCAAAATTAGGCAACACATTTCCCGCCCAAGTAGTTGCCAATGCCTCTGGTAGATGGGGGAATTGGCTGAACGGGGCTGATAGTGAGCACCAGTACCGGTAGGGTATGGCGACAGTAGAAATTAAAGGGGGGCGCACAGTGGACCAATAACTAGTCTAAGTGCATGGGGAAACCCACCCCCTCTAATAATAATAATAATAATAATACACCTACAGCTGTTCAGAAATTATGGAATTCCAAGGGCTCAGGGAAGTAAAAAGAAAACTGCAAGCTGCCCTGAGAAGTACAGTGACACAGTGGGAGTTGTAAGCAGAGTCAGTTCCACTCTAACCAGCCATCCAGTGATCAAGAACAGGTGGGGAAAATACTACCAAAAGATATTGTGACATGTTGCGCAACGGAGAACCCCTCACCCCCAGCAGTGACGTGGTGGGTGAGTCAGCGCTCCGTCACCCCCCCTACGGTGACATAACACGCAACGCAGATGTGACATGGGTTACAGCCAACAGCGGTACCGATTGTGTAACAAGCAAGCGCTGTGACTATATAAGTGAACCACACTGCCTACGAGTTGAGTTGAAATGTGGCCGTCGCCGAGTTCAGTTGTTGTCAGTTAAAAGTGTTATCAGCGGCCAAAGACAGTTCTCCAGTCAGCAGTAAGCATGAGTGAGTTAAAACATAGCCACCGCCAAAGTTAGTTCTCAAGTCAGCAGTGAACAGTTGAAATATAGCAGCAGTCACGGTAAGAAGACCCGAACGTGTGGTTACAAGATTTTATGTGACAGTGTGCGATAACTAAGAAGTCATCGAGTGGAAGACTTATTGTGTGCTTTCAAGACTTTGTGTGTGCTGTAGTACAATTATATTTGTAGTGTGTAATTCAGAGAGACTTGTATAGCTCCCGCATTATTAATACGTGAAGACTCTTGAAGACAGAGTGAACAGATTATTGAGAATAGGGTTATAAAGTGTGAAACCCCACAACAATGTGAACAGATTATTGTGAATTGGGTCATAAAGTGTGAAACCCCGCAACAATGTAAGTAGATTATTTCAAATAGGGTATAAAGTAGATGATATAAACTCCATCTCAAGTGCAAACAATATATTCTGTGTCTTTGATCTTGCTCCCTACACTACATGTTTCGGCCTCAGACGGCCATCATCAGGTGTATAACACTCACGTCGCTGTCACACTGCACCCAGTTCAAAATTTAACATCTAAAACACTCTCCCTGTCATTATCAACTTCTACTTCGTTGATGTAGGGAGCAAGATCAAAGACACAGAGTATATTGTTTGCACTTGAGACGGAGTTTATATTATTTATCGTATGGAGTGCAACAGGATGCTTAACCCTTTGACGTGGTCATTTAAATTCCGCGGCCGCGGCTCCTGCGGTAATATATTCAGCCGGCCATTTAAATTTTGCTCGAAAATTATTTATTCATCATTTTTCTTAAATTCTATGAGATAGGAACATGAAACTTTCACTAAAATGATCTTAAATTGTGGTTTTATAACCTTACCTTATAATATGGGAGCCCTGTATCTCGGCCATGGGTGCAGGTTGTTTAGTATTTGAGCAGTGAATGGTACGCCTTGAAGGATGAAACTTTCACTAAAATGATCTTAAAAGATGGTTTTATAACCTTGCCTTATAATATGAGCACCCGGTATCTCGGCTATGTAAGCAGGTGACGCCTTGAAGCATTAGTCTAAACACAGCGCTGGCTCACATTCACCAAACCAATACTGCGTATCTTTTCTTTTGCTCTTTTTTTTCTAACCACACTTCTGTGCGGCCCTGCCTTCTTCCCCGTGGGGGGAATACAAGTGGAAATGTCTCTCCGTGAGTCGTATATTTTGACAGATTAGCTGCAGTAAATTCAACCTTTGTGTTATCATAACAAGGGTTTGGTGCTTCTGCGTTTCAGATTCCAACCTTTTCGGCTGCCCCAGATGTCGTAGGGGTGACCACAGAATTCATGAAGTTATTATAAGAACTGGCTGGTATATAGTGAACGAAAGCAGAGCTTAGCTGGCTCAAAAAAAATATTTATGGTCATCCCTCGAAACGACCACCAAGGTCAGTACGATAAAATGGCGTCAACTGGAGCGATAATACATGAAGGAATGAGTTCTTTTCCCTCCCCCACACACATCCGTATCGTCTCAGGGGGTGACCACAGTGTTCTGCCTTAAATTGTGGCGTTTTTCTAAGAACTGGGCCTTTGTACTGTGCGAAATCAATGGATCATGCGAGAATAAATTTCTGGACATCCCTATTCTAAGAATTCCAATTGAGTGTGTTAGTGTGGCCAGCTCAGGGCAATATGATATTATAAACACATCACATCACGTCTCTGCTGTTTATAACTTCGTAGCAAAGGAAACACGACATTCATTACGGTGAAACCGCTAGCAAGAGCCACAGGAACTTTGCTGCAAGACAGGCATATGTAACACTGACTTAGCGCAGATAAAGACGTGTCATATTATACTCTGTACTACTGACAACAGGCCAGCGAAAAATCTAACAATCTACAGCAAAACCATCAATTATTATGGGCGTTATAACATAGGTGTGCAGCTGGACGAAATATACACGTCGAACCCCCCCCAGACGATTTAAATACCTGACGAAACATACACGTCAAACCACGGCAACGGGTTAAATATAATAGGGTATAAAGTGTGAAACCCCACAACTGTGTTATAATTAATTGTAGCCATTACTTGTAGGTTGTTGAATAAACCAATTAAAAATCTGTACGGCGTCTTCAGTAACGATACACGTTACAATATTAATCCAACCTCTTCAGTTAGACAATTTGGAATTCCTGTGGCCCCTTTTCTAAGAATATTGGACCAAAAATCACCTGAATTTGGGACTGAATTGGCAGAAGCATTGGAAACACCAGTCTGAGGATGGAAATTAAAAGCTGGGACTTGTGGGAATTAAACCCAACCCCCTTGGTTTGATAGAATGACACTTCCCTGAACTTATTCCACCCACTGGCAAGAAGGAAAGTCCCGCAAGGCAGTGTGCAGGATGCTGTTCTAAATGAGATGCTGTGGGAAAACATATCAGGAAGGAGACTAGGTACTACTCAAGGACTGTGATGTGTTATGCTTCAGAGTGTACCACACACAGAGAAACTTATAAAGGTTCAAACTAGATGCCTCTAAGGAGATGACCTTTTCCTGTGTAAGGGTGTTATAGAACATGTTTAATGTATAGGAAAAAGGAACTTCATATACTTTTCATATAGGCTTGTATGTGTTTTTTTTTTACAGATTTCATTGTCAGTTATGTCGTATGTAATTGAAACAAAAAACTTAAAAATTTCAAAGAAAAGTTATGTCTATTAAAATTCACATTCTTTCTACTACTACAAGAACTGTGAAGGAGGCTCTGTGCAGTGGTATATATTCAGTTTTGTTGGAGTATATATTGAGTTCTTTTATTGTTTTAGTGACCTAATTATCGATCTTTATTGATAAGCATGCAATTAAAGAATATTAGAAATTTTGAAGATGATAAAGTGTATAATTCACATTGTGTAATGAAATACTACAAATTAGAATATTGTATTTAAGCATCCTCTTGAATTTATGTATCTTTTATACATATTCAGTAATTCATTCCAGAATCTTACTCGTAATGCGAAACACTCGTTAAGAAAAACAATTTTTCCCATATAAATTAATGTAAAATACGATAATGCGTTCCATGCCGAAAAAAATACTCAAAAAATTTTATGTATAACGTTTATTACTTACAGTACTTTATTAAGGAGCGTGAATCGTCTTCATCTTTTCTTCTATGTAGAATGAACCAACCTGGAATGCGAATTTGATTTGCAGGAAACAAAAAAAAAAAATCAAAATAATTAGTTTATTATTTATGATACATATCTAATTCTTTTTTACTAGAAAGCTGTCCAGAGACATTTGTTTTTGCCAACACTTCAAAATTTGGTGAAAATGTGACACAGCATTATCATTAAATAAATTTGTAGCGCGCACAGCCACTGCATTATTAGGGTGATGGTTCTCAGTGTACGATGCAACAGTTTCCCGTGCTTTCAGCATTTCTCTTATTGTGCCAGAAGATTGTTGCTTTGCTGTTACCTCCTCCTCCTCCTCTGACAAACTCTCCTCCACAACTTCTTGCTATGAAACACAATACAACTCCAAATTGTGTAAATCGTTGATGTAGACCGATTGTATGTGCATGCTAGATCAGCCACGCTCACACCTTGTTCTCTCTTTTCAATGATTTTACGTTTCGTTTCTACGGTTATTTTTATTCTCTTATGGCTGTCTTTTTGCGGCTTTTTCTTCGGGGACGTTTTTGCAAGGGTTATTAAACTTTGCAAAAAAAAAAATCACAAATAATATGTCTGAACACAAGTTTGGAAAAATGTGTGATCACAAGCGAAACTAAGATGCTAGCGGAACGAGTGCAAAACAGATTGCTGTAGCAAGCGCACAATCCGGGACTTCCCCTCTCGTCACTCGTTATGCA